CAAAATTTAAGTAAGTTATTTATTAAATGAATATGTAATTTCTCTTACATTTTAATAACTACTATAATTTCATTGAAAACATTTCTCACCACCGACTCCAGACTTCGGCGAATGAATTCCCACAGTCGATGACTCCGTAGATAAAAATGCCACATCATTTATGAACAAAACCCAAACTTACAAAAAACCATATATAAAACCTATCTAATGAAACTTAAACAACGAATATTAACTTAATTAAGGTTATTTTCATATTGATAAATCGTTTAATACAAATATAAATATTATAAATATAGAATTATATCAAGTTTTGACATACGATATAAAAACATGAAATTTTCCATTTCATTATTAATTGGTGTCATTAGAAGAATCCACTAAACCAACAATCGAAAAAAATACACGTAAACATAATGATCCCGGCTCCGCGCTTGCGCGGGGAATATGCAGCTAGTGAAAAGAAAAAGAAAACATTATTAATTTAAATAGTAGAATTTTAGGAATTATAAGAAATTTAATGTCCTTTGATCACTCTCTTGTGACAAATTAATTGTTATTGAAAATCAGTTCCGGTTTAATTTGCAAGCTACGCCAATACGGTCTACGAATCTCCCGGTTTAAATTAAAAAAACTTAAACCATCGCAATAAATATCGAAACGCTTCCGTTTCATCACTCTCTTTGGCGGCTCTATCTCTCTTCTCCACACTCTGAGCTCCCGGAAGAAAGCTCTAAGCAGAAAAACCCTAAAGTTCTCACCTTTCCTTGTACACAGACATATCTCTCTACATTCGTGTTTGTTCCTGCAATGGAGTCCTCTCCTCTGAAAAAGCTCGAGCAGCTAGAATTCTCTCTAGATTCCGTCACTGATCTCTCTTCCACTTCCGTTTCGTCCTCCTCTCCCGCTGTAGCTACGTTTTCTTGCGTTGACGGCGTCACGGAGCTCCGGTTTCTCCAATCGGATTCGACCCATTGCTTCACTTTTGATCTTGCTTCGGCCCAGGTGAAGAAATTAGTTAAATTTTTGGAAGATTGGATTTTGGGTTTGATTGTAATGTGTTACTGTTTGTGTTTGTTTCACAGTTATTCAAGTTGGGGGCAATCCAGTTTATTTGTGTATCTGATGATAACTCAGAGGAGGTACGTAAAGTTACTTACTTTACTTTACTTATTCCGTAAAGTGTATCTCTTTTCTCTGCTCTCTTGTCAAAATCCTTGAATAGTGTGTTGTTTCATGACATTTTGTTGCATTTGGAACAGAGATCGTTCTCACAAGGAGTTAATATAAAGTTTGGATGTGAGAAGGATAGCAAGGAGTTTTGTGATTCGTTTGAGGAGTGGAGAAAGGATGTTCTTGTTCGAGGTGCGTCTTCTTGACTCTGAAGAAACCAATTAATTTATGTGTAATACTCCTTGATTGTTTTGTTATGCTTCCGTTTATAGGATCATCCACAGTTTCAGCTAGTAACAGCAAGTTTGACGAGAAGATTGAGGCGTCTTCTGCCAAGATGTATTTCCATTACTATGGACAACTTCTTCATCAGCAAAATATGCTACAAGATTATGTCAGGACAGGTAAAATTACATGGTCTTATATGTATTTGGTTTCCTACGACCGTTTTACTTATTTTTGGTTTATAGAATGTAAAGCTACCAAATAGTATCCTGTATTCTTTGCACTGCTTTTTGACACAGGATGGCTCTCTCTTTCTTGTCTTCAGGTACATATTATGCTGCGGTGATGGAGAACCGTTCAGATTTTGCTGGTCGTGTTGTGGTCGATGTGGGTGCTGGGAGTGGCATTTTGTCAATGTTTGCTGCTCAGGTATGCATTTCAGACCTAATTACAGAACTAAGGTTTTGCTATGCTCGACCCAAATTGATTAAGTTGACTTGTTTAATGACTTTTGTGCATTTTTGCTTCTGTCTCCTTCATACATGTCTTAGACCTTGTTTTACTTTTATGAATTAGGCTGGTGCCAAGCATGTGTATGCTGTAGAAGCATCGGAAATGGCTGAATATGCACGTAAGCTTATTGCTGGGAACCCCTTGTTCGCTGATCGGATCACAGTGAGACTTCTGGTTCAGTCTCTTTAGTTTTCTTTTGCTGTTTATATGCATTTTTCTGATGTTGTTGAAGCTGGCACAAGTGTAGGTCATCAAGGGAAAGGTCGAGGATATTGAGTTGCCTGAGAAAGCCGATGTTTTAATATCTGAACCAATGGGTAGGTGTTTCAGAGTCAGATTTTAGAATGTGTCTAGTTATAGACAACCCAAACTTTGGTCAAGAAAATATGTGGGCAAAGTGATTTGACCTGCCTTGTAATTTAAATCAGGTACCCTACTGGTGAACGAGAGAATGTTGGAATCGTATGTAATTGCTAGGGATCGTTTCATGTCTCCGAATGGCAAAATGTTTCCCACTGTTGGAAGGTAAAGTCAACCTTTGTGAGGCTTTTCTTTATATCTATTGTTATGTGTTTGATTCTCATGTTGTTTTATCACTGTAGGATTCACATGGCACCTTTCTCGGATGAATTTTTGTTTATTGAAATGGCAAATAAGGTACGGAATGCTACTATGTTCTTAGGACTATGTCGGATATTACTCTCTGCAACATATACATGTTTGGTTTCGTCCTTCAAGATTCATTGATTAAGTTCCTTCCTCTATGCAGGCTTTGTTTTGGCAACAACAAAACTATTATGGTGTTGATTTGACACCTCTGTTTGGATCAGCACACCAAGGTTATTTTTCTCAGGTACACATGTGTTTACACACCAGCAAATAGTAGTTTGTAACCGGTTCATTGTATTTGGTTATTCTCTAACTATCATAACCAAATATTGATGAGTCATATCTACGGATTGTACAGCCCGTGGTTGATGCATTTGATCCGAGGTTACTGGTGGCTCCTATGATGTCTCATACGATTGATTTCAGCCAGATGAAGGTATACTTCTTAGAACAGTTCTTTTGTGTTCTCTAATGTCAAGTAACTTATGGTCATTTTATTTTCACAGGAAGAAGATTTTTATGAGATCGATATCCCATTGAAGTTTACTGCTTCCACGTGCACCCGAGTGCATGGACTTGCCTGCTGGTTCGACGTTCTCTTTGACGGGAGGTACTTTGGCTTCTTCTTTTTTGGTCAAACCATGTTGTTTTCAAAATTTTCTATGCAGTTAAAAATTTAGCTTTCTTTACTCTGATTCAACAGCACGGTACAAAGATGGCTCACAACTGCTCCTGGTGCACCTACAACGCACTGGTACCAAATAAGATGTGTTCTCGCGCAACCCATTTATGTGATGGCAGGTCAAGAGATCACTGGTAGGCTTCATCTGATAGCTCACAGTGCTCAGAGTTACACCATTGATCTAACTCTATCAGGTCCAATCTACTTTTCCTCTGTGTGTTTTTGTCATTCAAAAGTATTATCATTGAACTTTGAATTTTTCTTTTGGATTTTAAACAGCTAAAATGTGGGGTCCGGGTGCAAGTCAAGGAGGAATCCTCCAATCATCGACAGGCAAATTCGATTTGAAAGAACCTTATTATAGAATGTCTCAGCCACAAGCATACCCTGTTGCACAAGAACCACCATTACCACCACAACCGCAGCTAAATACACAGGTAAGAATGCTTTCAGCAACTAAAATAGTTATAATTGTTTTCTTTTTATTTGTAACAAAATATATATATGCATTTACAATGAGCAGGATATACAGATACAGAGCGATGGATTCGAAGAAGAGTTATTACAAGCACCGCCACAGAACGCGAGTACCCAGCTTTAAAGCTTTAGATCATTGAATCTCAGTCATCTGTGGACACTTGTGGATTCAAGTTTGTAAAACGTTTTGGTTCCTTACGAGTTTGGCTATGGTTTTATGTAAAATGGTAGCACGGCTGAATTTTATCATTTCCCAATGCTTCCATGTAACAATGTCTGCACCTTTCTGTTTTTTCCACATCCAAGCTTATCAACTAATCAAGTTATCTATGATATTTACCTACATGATTTTGTTTTTACCTTAAATAGCATCAAAACTCCGTAAACATAAAACATTCTTGCTTTAGTTTACATGTTTCTCCTCCAGCAAAACCTGCTGATAATCCAAAGTAATCTACACAATAATTAGGCTTTCAACCTCAGGGCTGACCAAGCAATTGTTCTCTCCCATCAAAACCAGCAAAAATATTTATTTATTTTTTTGTTGAAAAATATATCTGAGTTACAAAACAAAAAACACAGAAGATGCATTAGGATGGGTGTGATTGAGGATTTACACAAAGTAAATAAAACATTGTCATCCCCAAAAAATAACTTAGGATTCTTGTGGATAAAAAATCGTTCAGAAATCATCACTTGACTAGTATCAGACACAGTCATAGAACGTTTTCTTGTTCTCCTACACAAGAAACTCGTAAAACTACCTTACCAACATTGTGCAACATGCTTTGCCTTTCCCGTTTCCCTCCAAACAGCTCTAACGACAGCTGCTTTCTCAAGGCAAGCATTCTCACGTAAACCACCCAAAAGCACAACACATGTCTTGTCATCAATATTCAATCCTTTTCGCCTTGTTTCCTCAAAAACAGCAAAAGCATCCATCACCCTGTTTCCACTACTTAGACCTTTGATCAACCACACCGTTCCCTTTAAACCGATCAAACAACAAACCACCCTCTGCAATGTAGGAAACAGTGCTTGGTTTCATCTCCTATTTCTGCATCTCTTGCCAAAACACAAAGGCTTTATTAAACTTCCAGACCTTACAAAGACCATTTATTAAGATACCGTAAGTAACTTGGTTCGGCATGCATTTCATTTCTTTCAACGTCTCAAAACATGCCAGAGCTTCAGTGATCTCCTCTGCCTTCACCAACGCACCAAGCAGTGAGTTCCATGCATACACATTAGGTGTTAACCCTTTCTTCATAAGCTCATCCAAGATAAGATAAGCTTCATCAATCCTCCCAACTTTCCCAAACCCGTCTACAAGACTACTGTAGATCACCACGTTTAGCTCTATTCTCTTTGACTTTGCTTCCTCAAAGAGCATATAAGCTTCATCAAGCCTATCTATCTTCGCAAGTCCATCAATCACTGAACCATAAGTAACAACAGTTGGTTCAAAACCTTTTTCTTTCATCTCCTCTAGTAGCTGATAAGCTTTGTTAACGTTCCCACACTTGCAGAAACCATCAATGACAATGTTGTAAGCACTTGGGTCCAACACACATCCTTGCTCTTTCATTAAATAAAACAGCTCATGAGTTTCATTAGCAACGCCTGCTTTTATCAATCCACTGATTAAAATCGAGTAGCTTCGAGTATCTGGAGCATAACCATGAGCTTTTATCTCCTCAAACATCGCTCTTCCCTTTTCTACCTTTCCAGCTTTAAACATGCAATCCATGTATGTGTTAAGAAACTGCAAATCAGGAGAACATTTCATCTCCTTGTAAATCTTGTCCCCATCTTCTTTTCTACCGTGGTTGAAAAAGTTCTTTACGAGAGATGTGTAAACAATAGTGTTAGGACGAAACTCAGTATCCAACATCTTCTTGTAGATTTTATAAGCCTCATCAACTCTACCAACCTTACCTAAACCATCTATAAGAGAGCAGAATGTAATCTCATCAGGCTTCAAACCATTAGCTTCCATCTCATGAAAAAACTTCAAAACCATATCAACTTTCCCCACTTTACCAAAACAATCAACACACACATTGTAAAGAACAATGTCTGCATCAAGAGAGCTTCTCTTCATCTCATCAAGTAAAGATAAAGCAGAATCAACTCTTCCTTCTCTAGCGAATCCGCGGATCAAAGCCGTGAACAGATGAAGAGTTGGCTCGTATCCTAACTCCATCATCTGGTGAAAGAGAGTTAACATCTTATCAGAATGATTATTAACAGCTGAGAAAGCAGCGATGAGAGTTGTATAAGCTGAAAAAGCTGGTCGAAAGTTCAACTTCCTCATCATGTTCACAATAGAAAAACCTTCCTTAAGTTTATTGGCCTTAACGCAGGTGGAAACCATATCGATACAAGCGTTAACAGACGGGGCAAACCCTGCAACACTCATTTCTCCAAGAATCTGTTCTAAATCTTTAAAGTTTCCGCAACGAGACATCACTAGGAGCAGTGAGTTATAGGCTTCAGGACAATGAGGAAGCTTGGTTCTTCTCTCGTACCAACGGAAGTAATCAATTACTTGGTTAACATCTTTAAGCTTATGTAACACACTGATGATTAACTCTGGTTGAGGTTTGAAGTTTAGAGAGGAGAGAGCAGTCTCAGAAGAGGGTCCCCAAGGACCAGTCTCCAAAACATTGCAAATCTCGTTAATAACTTGTTTGTTACCCTCAAATGTTTTCGGTTTCTCACGGCCAGTATCAGACAAAGATGATAGATGTTTACTTAGAGTGAAAACACGACAAGGTTTTGTGTACTTGCGAAAGATAGTAGTTCCTGCTGTGTAAATGTGAGAAGACAAAACATAAAAAAGCAAATCAGTGATGTCTCTAACTCTCTCAACCATAAGTTACAGTACCATAATTCAACTCAACGCAAACACACTGATAGCCATTTTGATCAAAAGATTGAAACTAACTGAGATTACCTGGTCCTAGTAGCATCCGCATCTTTCTGTTCCAAACAGTAGATATATTTTCTGGAATGAGAAGAGAAGAGACGTTAAGGGTTTAAGCAAGTACGTAGGTTTATGCCGAGGTTGAGGTTTAGGGTTTAGGTTAATTCGGTTTTCAGTTCGGTTATATATAGAATCCTTTCGGATATTTAGAAATTTCGGTTAGAAGTTGATTTAATTATTTCGGTTTACAGTTCGGTTTGTAGATCAAACTTAGGAACTGGTTAATATCCGAGAACAAAACCAGTAGAGGTTTTGGCTATTTTCCATTGATTTTTTTTTTTTTTGTTTATATAGTTTTGTAGTTAAAGTTTGTGTGATTTTCAAAATGTGCGATGTGAACCGTGTCGACGTCTCTCCAAGGAAGATGAGAAAGTAGTCAAAGCAAAGCAAGCATTCTCAGCTAATGTTCAGTATGGTTTTGATTCTTTGTCTCCTTGTTTATTTGCTCTAATGATAGATATATATATTATGTAATGCTTTGTCTCTGCAGGAACGTCTTGGTTACACATGAGAACTCAAATATTGACATTACAGGGGAAAAAATGAGGTGTCTCACTGTCTTGCCGTATCTAAATCTCACCTGATTTAGAACATCTTTGTGTTAATGGAAGCTTGGACTTTTATTCTATGTAGGTCATCAGTCTTTATTTGGTATTGCTGAAAGCCTGAAAGAAAGGGAAGCTAGAGACCCAAACAAGTTTCTGAAATGCCATTTTTTCAATACAGTTTTCTTCACAAAGGTTATAAACACATTCCTTATGGCTTATGAATTTTATGTTTTTATCCGCTTTATATTTGTTCACGAATTCTTAACAAGAAGACGTAATCTTAGTTAGGGAAAACTATCATTGTGATTTGTTGACTAAAGCTTGAGTGGTTTTCACAAGAACATATGCCATACTTTCGGGTTAGGACAGCAAAGGAGATTCTGCAACTCAAAGCTTTTAGTTTGTAAAGTTAGGACAGTTTATTAGTGATCTTCGTCAGAGAATAGTTTGTTAAGTTTTCACGTACAGTGTTTGATAGAGTTACTGAGTTCAGATGCACATAGATGAAGGTTAATAACAATGCGGCTGTGTTATCTCTGATAAGGAGTCTTAACAGTGAAAAAAAATTAATTACTGTTTCACTCTGAATTAGCTTCAAACCGTTAACTCCAACCGTCAAATAAACTGAAACAAATCTAAAGAAGACAACAAACAAAAAAAAGTCTAATAAAGAGAGAACTAGATCTGCAAAAACGACGTCCCATTACTCGTCGGAGTCACCATCTCCACCTAAGACAGAGAATCTGTTATAGAGTAAGAACAAGATCAAGACTAGGAACAATGCAACTCCTACCGGAGATCCGCTAACACGGTGAATAGATTCAGGCTCTCCGGTGGAGAAAATGGCGGAGACGAAGGAGCCACGTTCAGAGGAGAGGAACTGGATGGTGAGGAGGAGGATGATTGGGAGTAAGAGAAGTCCCACTGGACTCAGAACCTCTGCTATCCCTTCTGTGATGGCTTCTCCTCCGTCTCCGAGGAAGAAAGGAACGAACACTACCAATGCAACGACGACGGCGAGTATGATACCGTGTGGGGTGGATCCTCCACCGCCTACAAGGCCTTGACGATCTTGATACATTATACTGTTGAGTGTGACTGTTGTGAGAGAGTGTCTTTTTCTTTTTGCTTTTATTACAGTTGGAATATCGAGAGTAGCGCAGAGCCTTTTTGCCTTTTTTAAAAAAAATTTGAAAACCGAACTAAACCGTATCTCGGTCCTTTACAACCCAACAAGGAACAAGGTTACGTAAAACGATGCAACATACGTATAGGGTATTCCATATTGGGCCGTTACGCGATACCAAGGCCCTTTTTACGTTCTTTACAATAATAAGATCCATTTTCAAAAATGATACAATCTAAAATTTAATTCACACACCTGTAATCGTATGATATAACCTTGTTTTGTCATTGTCTCCACAACACAAACCTTACGGTTCGACTGTCCAAGTTGTGAAGGAGCTGGTAAGTATTCTAGTGGGCTTTTGACACACAGATAAAATAAGAGTGAAATGAATAAGCTTATGAGTTATTGTGATACTTGTACATGTATTACATAGCATTATATGTAAGATTGTAGTTGAGTCATCCATTTCACGTGTGTCGATATATCATTGTAAAAAGATCAAAGTAATTTTATGATCTTGAAATGAATATATCTGAGTACCTGGAATTGCTAGAAGAAGACTGTAGATAAAAATTGATGACCCTGAAGTCACTATTTACTCATGGATATGTCCATCAAAGCATGCTTTCTCCATTCCAACCTATGCAACCAAAGAAATTAGATTTATATATCAAATGCTTAGAAGTTACGTGAACGAAGTATCTGCATCAGCTATCAATCCTGCTGAAAAGCAAAAGTAATGAATAATTTCTACTCTCACCAAACACTGCATCGACTGAGACTAAGTTCATGCATCAACAGATTGAAATAACATTTTTACTTTCTAGTAGCAAAAGGAAAGAAAAAAACTCTAAGATAAGAGCTATATATATTGTGAAATGGAATGCGTAAAAAGTTTTTTTTAAGATATTTATGGGTCCCTACCACATTTTGATGTAAAAGATGCTACTTCATAAATATTTCACAACGGAAAACTGATCGTATTCACATGGTCACGTCTGAAGTATCTATTTTCGCAGATTTTTGGAATATACATATGATAAGTCCAAAATTGGGTCCCCACGCAATTTTTTTTTGTTTATCATAGCATAGATCACAATGATTTATATTATGAATATGGTTACGTCAGAATAGAGCTGGGCATTTTATTCGTTAAATTTGATTCGATTCGTTATTCGTCTCGATTCGATCCGAAAATTTCGGATATCCGTAAACTTTCGAATCAAAGCAAATACTAAAAATCAATATCCGTTAAAATCGAAGCAAATCACAAATATTAAAATTTTGGGAAGCGGATATCCGATCCGATCCGGAAATATATAAATATATGTATATTTTGATTATATTAAAATTTTATATGTATAAAATTATTATTATAGCTTATGATTTGACTAATTAGATTCACATTATTACTTATATAAAATTATTAGATAAAAAGAAGAGAAAAATTATGAAAATTATAAAGAAAAAACTTAAGTTTTGTGTTATTATAGGTGTTAACTTAAACAAATTTTTTTATAAAATATGTAAATTCACTATTTCTTTATTTTTTATTTTATATATCATGTAAAAAAATTTACAAAATAAATTTATATAAGATTATTTGTAACGGATGAGATATTCGTAAGTATTCGTAAATATCCGCAAATATCTGTTTATTTTCCGGATATCCGTTTTTCCGGATATCCGTTTTTTTTTCGAAGCAAAGCAAATACCAAAATCAGATATCCGTAACATACGAAACAAATCACAAATACCTTCGAAAACTCGGATATCCGATCCGTGCCCACCCCTACGTTAGAAGGCAGCCTTGTTTATTTTCCCTTCTGTCTCTTTGCAGAATTGTTCGACTTTATTTTCACCTCAGGGACCCCTTTTGATGTACTTGTCCCGACCATCTCTTCCACATATTATATCATCTGAATTTATTAATGTTATCATAACACTGTGCTGTTACAAACTTGTGGTTTTTGGTCGGGACAGCAAACTCAATATGTTGGCTTGCATTAAATTTGATATTTTATAAGTAGATTAGCTGGTTGTTGATCTAACCAAAATGATGATAGTGTTGTAGATGCTGTTGACGTCTTGTTGTGTTGCATGTCTTACTTAAAATTTGTGGGGTTCCAGAACAAAACAAGAAGATAAAACTATTTGAGTGTTGGAATTAGGCATAATGCATGTGCAAAGACATGTGCCTTTTGATTCCACTCATTTAATACTCAACACCCTAAAACCTGTTGACTGCTTTTTTTTCAAGTGGGGGTTTGTTACTATTGTAATAGTATTATAAGTAACAACAAATCTGGTTTAATTGAAACCACAAGACAAATAATTTTGGGAGAATTAGAAAGTGTTTATTACATTGTAATAATCCATTAATATGAAAATATTAAAACCAATGAAACAAAGCAGCAAGTATTCTAAGCTCATTCTCCTAAAGGTTTCAAGCTTTTATGATGAATCATTGATGATGAACAACATCTAGCCAATAGGCCAAAAACATGAAATGAAAAAAAAAAAGATAAAATAGTATGCCATTACATTACTAGTTGTACTCAAAAGATCAAACAAATGTCCAAAGAACAAAAGAACAGCCTAACTAATCACATGAATGAAATATGATATAGAGATTAAAAGTACTTATACTGTAACTCTTAGCTTTTCATAGTAACCAAGGAAGGAACTGAGCCCAAGTTTGGAGTTGTGTTTTTATCAGTTGAAGACTCTGTAATATTACCACCTTTATGAGTAGTAGTCTTGGCTCTCATTGGACTTGCAAAAGCCCTTCCCCATGCGCTTTTACTCCCCATCTTATGATGATGATGATCAACTGTTGATGATGCTGAAGTTGTTGATGATGATGATGATGTCATGATCATAAACCCACCAAAGATACCACCACATTTCACCATTTCACTCATTGCATCAGCACCATTACTAATGACCTTTGTGTGTTCTCTCTGTGACTCAATCCTTTTCAAGGCGCAATCTCCAAACCCATTAGAGATCCTCTCAAAGAAATCACCAGAGAAGCTTCTGCTTCCACAACCAACAGATCTAGATCTCAACACTTTCCTCCCAAAAGAAGATCCACCACCACTCCCAACACCGTTTCTTGGCGTCTCTACAACCACTTTGTTACTATTAGGACTCTCATCTTCTTCCTCAGCTATCACATCAATGCCTCCACCAACAACAACCTTGTTAGTTGTCTCTGTTGTCTCTGTTCTCTGGTTTCTTGGCACCGAAGAATGACTAACTTTTTTTGTGGTGGAAGCTATTTGGTGTTTGGAAGAGTAGAGATGAAGAAAAGACCAGAACCCACTTCGTTTCTTCCGGTTTAAACTCTCACCGTAAGCAGCAGCTGAAGATTTGCTTCTCTTGTAGATAAGACTAGCTGAAGAAGAGGAAGAGGATGAAGAAGCAGCTGCGAGCATACTCTTCTTCTTGGCAAGAAGAAACGGGAGGTTGTTGTTGTTATTGCTATTGCTGTTGCTTGCGGATGAGAGAGATAGAGCAAGAGAGGTGGTGGTGGAAGAAGGAGAGAAGGATTTAGAAGAAGAGGAAGCAGAGAGGTGGTTTGGTTTAGGGAGAGGGAAAGAGGAAGTGACGAGCTTACCGAGCTTCTCTTGGAGACATAGTGGACAGATACCACCTGGATTCTTTGTGTAAGGATGTGTTGTGCATTGCATACCATCTCCCATGTCTTGATCTTTGAGGTCCACCATTGCAAAAAGATTAGATAAGGAAGCAAGAAAGAAGAAAACCAAAATCTATGAGTCTTCTCTTAGAGATTCAGCTTTTAGCGTCTTTTGAGAGAGATGCTACTTGTTTATGAGTGAGATGAGAGAGAGAGAAGAGAGGAGTGTGCAGAGTTTGTAGAGAAAGAGAAAGAGAGTCGGGTTCCCCCAAGTGCACGTGAGAGTTCTGACCTGTACCGGCTCTTTAGCTCGTCTTCTTCGGATCTTTAAATAATAACTCCTCTCATTTTCATTTGTTTTTGGGCTCCACTAAAGGCATGATTAACCTTGATCTGTTAATCTAGATTTTTAGTTTATGATTTGACACTTTTTTATATACTTTTCGATTAAAAGAAAAATTTTTTTTTTTAATTTTAATAGACGATTTTTAGTTTTTTTAAGTTAAAATAAAAATAAAAATTAAGAAGCATCTCTTAACCGAAACTAAGAATCCAGTTAGGAGATTTGGGTTTATCATGATTTTATTCTTTTTTGTTAGGTATAATGTTAAATAAGAATCCAATATTCCATGTGTTTTTCTATCTATTTTTTAGTTTTATGAAAACACTAAGATTTCAACTGGTGACAATTTAATTGAGCAAGAATGGAAAAAGTAATGAATAAAAATTCAATTGATGAAATGAATAAACAAAAAAAGGAGAATGATTTTTTCTTCCTAATTTTTTTTCATTCATAGGAAATTATAGGAATGGAATAGAACCATGTGTGTAATTAACTTAAGTGACCAATTAAAGCCTAATTAACTTAAGTGACCATTTACGTTACAAAAAAATTGCCCCCGTTTGATTTTTCGTTTTGTAGGATTTAACATTTTCACATCTGAAGATTTGGTGTATCTGATAAACTGGTTATATCGAGCTGACGAATGTGGAAGGGATTCAAGGGAATATTATTGAGGATTTATTAACTGTTTTTTTTTTTTGTCTGGATTAAATTCATAAACCGACAAAACCAATTGCTTAAACTATTTTAGGATTTGAATCTGACCCAAAAGAAAATAATTGATGAATAAACTAAACAGCTGATCTAGAAGATCATAGGGCAAACATTTGTAGCTTAATTACATATAATTAACTAGACTCTTAGTTACTGCATTATTTTTGATTCCAGTGTATAATTTTTTCGAGCCAAAACCCAAAGCATCGAAACTCGAACATGCAACTTTGAGTCCCGTGTGGGAAGTCATTATATTAGTAGAGTTGCAAATGACGGATGATTCTAGTCTTATGGCTAACTCTATTTTTCCTAATTATATTCATGGTTTTATTTCACTTCACTTTTTTAGTTATAAAAAAAGTACTAACTGAAACTTTTATCTTATTGGAGGTTGAGTTTTCTTATTATCAACTAGTTTTTTAAGATATGATCGACTCGTTAATTTCAATATATTAAAAACATTTGATGGTTGACAACAACGAAAAATACGTTTACTGTGCATATACCCTAGTTGTTTCCCATGTTAGTCATTTTATAAGTTTGGACCCATGCATGTTAGTGTATATTAAATATCACTTATCCTTTAGTTTTTCTAATTAGTAAATTCACCGGCTTATGTTTGATAGGTGCCTCCAACCAAGCAAACAAAATCATTTAGTATTCACGACCTCTCCATTGTATAACTTATAAAATTGCATAAATTCAAGAAATGTTAAATCGTAGCCCACCCACCTCTAAGTATGGAGTTTACTATTTGATGTGTTAGTATCCACCCATATGGTGGCAGTCGGATTCAGATTATCGTATATAATACTACCCAGAATCTAAGATTATTGGATCGAAGATCCCGTAATGTGACATATATTCACCGAGACTAACCTCCATACATATGCGTAGTTTCACTTTCATGCCTTCTTGGTATTAGTTAAACTGGTAAGTAAGAATCTGCACGTGGTAGTGGAATAATTGAGGATCAGGCTTTCATCGTGTAAATTTGTAGAGCCTGACAATAGACACATCAATTAATTTTTAGATGTATATAATCTTTAAGGATAAACATATGAGAATCAACCAACATTCATAACCAGCAATTCTGTTTTACTTGGTTTTCAAGGGGGTAAAATTTATACAAAGATGTGTTGCATGGTACAAGGTACTGAGCTGTAATCTGTAACGTATCGAAAAGCAAGAGACGCGTAAGAGAAGAAAACAAAAGGTGGTCCAGAAAATCCAGTACTCGTGTCATTTCTCCTCTTCTAAATTTATTACACAGTTCTTTGTCTTGTCTGTTCTTTCTCCCTTTCCTTCTATTTATGGTCCCCTTCCACTTCTGTCAGGCTTAGTTACTATGAATTGTTTCTATTTTTATACACATCAGTTCACATATAACTATAGTTCATATTGCCTGAGTGTAACCATCACTAATCTATAGGTGTAACCCTAACCACACTAGCTAATCTGTGTAACCACACATTCACTTGGTCCATATATTATCCAGATCCAAGCAATTTTTTTTAATCTTCCTATAATAGCGTGAAGAGAGATTTAAGAGTCAAAATTTATCAAAAATAAATCTTATAGAACTTACTCCATATAGAGCTTTATAACAAATGTATCTGACAGCTTTTTATGACAAAGCATCATTACATAACATAAACAAATATTCTTATTGCTACTTAAACTTACTTTCTACTTTCATCTGTCTGAGATGATACTTTATTTTAACAGCTCGTGAGGCCAAAGATAGGTGTTGGACATAAAGCAAACACAGAAGATGCAGCAACTACAAAATGTTTCCGCTGAAACGCTGACATTTACAACCGCGATCTGGCTTGTTCCAAGGGAGCGCTCTGCAACACATATAGAGAAATAGTCAAGAATCTGAGTTACAATTGAGCCTAAGAACACCTCCGGAGTCCTTAGAAGGAGTCTAAGGAAAAAAATAATTAAATAATCAGTAGATCCTCCTCCAAAAAGTTACGGATTCGATCCTTAAAATCCCTAAATAAAGATAGTTTCTTAGAGAATATTGCATTTATTTGCGGATCCCCACGACAAATGGGAACCCGCAATTGGTTGATATTTTATTTTTTTCTTTTCTTAAAAAGAATCTGAAAAGATCAAAAAATAATAATTAAAAAATTAAAAAAATAGTTTTTTTAAGGACTCCAACTGATAACACCGTCGGAGATGATCTAAACTATAAGATGCTAAACTGTACATGATTGGATAAATAGTAGTGCTAGTATGTTGATGTCATTAAGATTAGCCATGTAATAGATAAGCAAGGCTGAACTAGATTATGTAATAGCAATATTAAAAAAAAACTACCCTAAAAATGAAAAGTAGAAGCCAAGAAAGAAACACTCACGAGAGGAGCTCCTTTAGAACCCCTTTCAGCCAAGAAATCACAAGGCTTAAAGAAATCACCATAAGCCTTAGACCACTCATCTAGCTTTGAGTAAATATATTTCGATCCAATAGAATCAGCCCAGAACATGATTCCTCCTCTGTTCACAAGAGATTTTTTTTAAATTAAATCCACAAACGAACAAAAGAGAATCTGAAAACAGATTTTTGTTATGAGTAACAAAACACTGACCTGTATGGTGGAAACCCCATTCCAAATATGCCAGCGATGTCAAGGTCTGCTGCTTTCACAGCAATTCCTTCCGCAAAAACTCTACACGCCTCGTTCACTACTGGGAAAAACGTCATTTCGATAATTTCTTTTTCTGACAGTTTCTCCAACTTAGGGTCAAGGCTCACTCCTGATACGCTCCTTGCTTTCTCGATATATTTCTTTAGTTCAGGATCAGGTTTAGCCTTACGCTTTTCATCGTAAAGATAGAAACCTTTACGAGTGGCTTCACCTGAAATCAAACAGAAAAGTTCACAAGATTCAGAAGAATGTTAAATAAAAAAACATTATCTAGCTTCTGTTATATACCAGCTCTCTTGTCCTCTTGCATGAGTGGGATAATCATTGACTTGTATGTCCGTTCTGTGAAGTTCTCGATGAATTGTGTTGCGGTTGCAATCGCCACACCGAATCCAACCAGGTCGCACAATCTACTCGTTCATACAAGTATTATATAAGTAACAAAGGTACGGTTTACAAAAAAAAAAGGTGTATGAGGAGATTCACATGGTTTTTTAAAATGAGATATACCTGAAGGGACCCATTGGCATACCAAACTTGCTGACTACCTTGTCAATAAGATATGGATCTGTTCCACGTTCAACAAGGAACATAGCTGCCTGTGTGTATGGGAAGAACATCCTATTAACTGCAAACCCTGTGCAGTTTCCCACCACCACTGGCGTTTTCTTAATCTTCTTCCCAACATCTAACAGGTCAACAATTACTTGCGCAGATGTATGATTGGTCCGAACTATTTCAAGTAGTGGCATGACATGTGCTGGACTGTTATCAGAAAATGAATCATCTAGAACTGAGTAAAAACACTACAAGCATAAAAATTTCACTGAGAAATTCAATTAAACTGCAAAGTATAAGTAAGAACCTGAAAAAATGTGCTCCAATAATCCTATCTTGGGACTTGGTCTTCTCCCCAATTTTGTTCAAATCAATGGTAGATGTGTTGCTAGCAAGGATACAGTGCTGAGGACAGTACTTCTCTAGATCAGCAAAAATTTGCTGTTTCAAAGATATCTTCTCAATGACAGCCTGTCCAAGCCACCAAAAAAGACATTACACAAAGTCAATAGAAAACAATTTCAGCTTCAGTATGCTCATTATTACCTCGATGACCATGTCCACATCCTTAAAGCTTTCATAGTCAAGAGAACCTTTAAGGAGTGACATGGTTTTCTCAAACTTTTCCTTAGACATCCTTCCTTTCTTTACACTACTCTGAAGATTAGCTGATTAAATTAATGAAATTAGTCAGATCAAGCTTTTTCATTTGGTTGGGTAGCAATGTAAAGAAACAGATCCTCACCTTTGACCCTGCCAATTCCAGCGTCCAAGAACTTCTCATTTACCTCCTTGAGAATCACTGGATAGTTACTGAGGAGCAATGCAGTGGCTATTCCAGATCCCATTAACCCGCCTCCAATTATAGCTACCTTTTTAATCTTCCTTGGCACCAACCCACGATCAGTAACTCCAGGAACCTGTCCATAAGATATTAGATTGGAATGAATCAAAAATAGAGGGAAAAAAAGAACAAGAGAGACATGACTGCATAAACATTCACAAACCTTTGTAG